GAAAATAAATATTTTATTTAAAAAAATTGCTGAACTGAATCAAAACAATATTCAACCTGAAAAATGTTTTCAAATACTTTTTTTTGTTTTGAATGCAACATTGTATTTTTCAAAGTTCAGGATGAAAACTTGGACTTTCAAATAAATTGTATTTTTTTGAATGATCAAAACTTATGACCCTGAAATAGCTCCATAGACTTCATGCTCGCCGTCGGAGCGAATTTGCGTCTGTCCGCGTCTCTGCATTGACTTTACATGTAATCGCGCCGCCCCCAAACATCGCATCGCATCCGGTGTGAACGCAGGATTTTTACAGAGCCCCTCCTCCAACACACACGAACGCGCACATGACCAATGAGGGCATGAGATAAGTTTGTGCATGAGATGGAAGGCTGACAGGCAGGTAGGCCATCCATTTATCTGAGCCGGGCCGGCTTGGTCGAAATTTGAAAAGCACCACGGTATCCACAGATGACATTTATTGTCAAAGCATGTAATGTATTCATTGCTATCGGGATGTTAAGCGCATTCCATGGAATATAACAAAAAGTGTTTCTGAAGTGAATTACCTACCCCACCTTTAAGCTGTCTTTGGCTCTTTTCTGCTGTAACAAATGTAAATTTCCCCTCAGTGGGACGAATAAAGGTGTTCTGATTCAGAAAAGGGTTTCCACTCTCACTATCACCTTTGATAATTACACTTTTACCAATTTAGATGTGCAGCAGTTTCCGGCTCAGAGATAGTAATAGTGATTATCTTGAAGTTGCAGATTGTCATTGATTTGCTAATCTGTGGAAACTGAGTTATAAACTACTTTAACATGGAAACCTCTTTTTTATTGTTTTTTAAACTATCCGAATGTACTTTGAACACAGATGTGAATTATATTGTTGGCTCCTGGGTGCTCCTTGTAAATAGAGGGATCGCTGCCCTTGTGGCAGTTTCACATTTCTCTTATCAGTGCCGTGAAGATTGTATCTGTAAATCTCTAAAACTTGAACACTGTGACATCACAGTGTTTCCCCTGTATACAGAATTATGTAACTAACGAATGATCTACTAAGACATTGTTTTTTCTGTTTACTGGAAAGAGATTTTTATCACCCAAAGAAAAGAGTTGAACACATTAAAAAAATATTTATTCTTTTTCAATTCTGTACAAATTCCCACAACCATCAAAGTTTTCACATTTACCGACAATATCCAGCCATATATATATTTATATATATGTGTATATATATATATATATATATATATATATATATATGTGTGTGTGTGTGTTTCTGTGTGTGTGCTAAAATGACAAATGTTGTCAACGCAATCAAGGTGCATTTTACTGCCTACAATATGAAACATCAGTCCCCATTGTTTCATCCTTCAAGCCTCCATGTTTTGATCCTAGGCCACAGCATCACTTTAATTTTCATATACTGTAGAGAACAGTTTATCTTTCAGCATTATAATCACAGCAACTCTGCAGAAAGTGCTATCCAGGATTCAGTGCAATTACAATGACAGTGGTGAAGTGATTGTTGTTGAAGTATGCTTACAGTACATACACATACATTATGCAGATATATAGTCTAAACATATTTTTAAAACAAATAATCCAAGATCAATTGCTACCTACTTTAAATACAATACACATGAGATTACATTTCTCAGATATCTTGAACAAATATAAAATGCCTTCTTCCCATCATAAACTGACAAAGAGAAACCTGAGAAGTGCATGGGCGCAAAAGCCCTCAGTACAGTTTCATTTAAATGTGCAATAACATCTCCATATGAATCAAACCTGTTTTCTTACATATATTATTTATATTTTCTAAACACTATTGCAGAGCGGATTTTATCCACTTCATCAATATTAACACTTTGAAGTGTGTTGGTTTAGAAACTGCCGGGAAAACCCTGTCCATCAGTTACTGAAATGTGAGACTAAATAAAGACCCACAGAACAAAATAAGGTAAATAGTTGAATTAAAATCAATTATTTTTCTATTTGTTGTTATACTTTAAGTGTGTAGTGTCCTTCACTGGACACTACACACTTAAAGTATAACTTCCTACCCGTTTTCTACATAACTTGCGGAACCACACCCAGTAAAGGATGATCATAAGCAGCCAGTATACGATGTAGGCCACGCAGCCAAAAATGATAAAGGTGAGTTCCTCTACTTTGGCTGGCTCGGACCAGTCCAGTTGACTCTCCCTGTAAATTGAGTAACCCAGCCCGCCTAGTAAAATGACCATCCACACCGACAGAGGGAGAAGAGGAATGTAGTTCCCTACAATTTTACGCCTGCCAGAAGTCCCCCAGCTGCTTTTGTTCATGGTGAGAATCGCGAAGTACTTGGCAGGCAGCAGGCTGGTCATGTACAGGGCCGAGTAGAGGGACATGAACACCATCACCATGTCTCTGCGCAGGATGCAGGCGTAAGATGCTTTCACCAGCCCGATCAGCTGGATGCAGCACAGGATCCAGAGGATGTCCCACACCGTGCCTGTCCAAAACAGCTGGATGATTGTGGCTGTAACGAAGAAGGGGAAAATACCCGAGACGATGGACTCGTAAGTCATCCAGAGGTGGTGCTTGTGCCACCACATTGCATTGAAGAGCCACTCGCGGAAGTATGATTTTGTCCAGCGAGTCTGCTGGTTCAGCCAGCGCAGAAACTCAGCAGGTGTCTCTGTGTAGCATTTGGAGCGGGCTGTGTATCTAAAAGAAAAGGCAAAAACAAGATTTATGAAACCTTTATCATTACAGCAAAGGTTACACCGTCACTTCAAGATAATTGCATCTGATATCATAACTGTGCACAATGTTGAAAAGCTTCTTACTTTGTAGCATAGCCCATGCTCAGCATTCGGTTGGTAAGATGTCTGTCGTCACCAAATGTGCAGTGACTTCCCAAAAACATCTGATTGTACCAGGACTCCAGAAACTGCTGGAGGAGATCGTTCCTATACAGACCTTTATGGAGCAATTCAAGAAAGAAACACAATGAGTTAGAACAGTGCATTATAGCTCTGAATACAACTGCTTGACATGTACACCAATACATTGACACATATCAAAAGGGAATAAGCTTTTTCTCTCACCCAAAGGACCACTAATGCAGGACACACAGTCGAAGAAGGACTGGCAGGACCTTTCGATGTTGAAAGCCATCCAGTATCTAAGACTGCTCATGAAGCTGATGTAAGAGTCTTTCAGGTTAAGGATCATCACATCTCCTCCCACAGCACCGTACTTGTCGTTACTTTCTAACACTTTACACAGCTCAATGGTGGCCAGAGTGTCCAGCTTGGTGTCTGAGTCACACACCTAAGGGAGGGAGTAAGAGAGTCTTGTCATAAAAGAAATTGCACACTATGGTTCAATCACTTTTTCTTTTTTTTAAACATAGGGAATATGATTTCAAAAAGAAGAATACACACCTGTATATAGTCCACTGATGACCCAAGTGCTTTGAACGCAGTGTACATCACCTCCCGCTTGCCGCCCCACTTCTGCATGATGCACACGCACTGCTTGTTCCGGATCAGTTGCTCTACGTCTCTTCGCTCTGGGTCCTCAACAAAAGTTGGTTCAGCATCCCCTCCTGGGCCGATTTCAGCATTCCCTCCTTGGCCTATTTCAGCATTCCCTCCTGTGCCCAATTCAGCATCCCCTCCTGTGCCCAATTCAGCATCCCCTTCTGGGCCCATTTCTGTTGCCGTTTCCACAGGCTGCTGGGCCTGGATGGGATTCCACGTATGGTAGTTATTTTTCCACACATAACAGCCAGGGTCCCGGTCTTCAAACACCTCTCTGAACATTTCCATCATGTACCGGTCATCATCTGTGTTCCCATCGATCACCATGATGATGCGCAGCAGCTCCGGAGGATAGCTGAGGGCCTTGATGGAGCTGAGGCACTCCTTGAGATAAGCGGGGTCCTCCTGATAGGCTGAAATTGTGAAGCCAATTGTTTTGGTAAAGGAGCAGGGCTCTGTGCGTGCTTTCATTCGTCGGTGCTCAATGAAGGCGAAGAGGCTCTGGACCAACACGTGAAGTGAGAGGAGTAGCCCATAAAAGCCAAAGGAGATGATTCCGTATTTGGATGTTACCAGCTGAAAACCGTCCACATAGGCCCACACCAGCAAGCACATAACCAGCACAGCAAACCCAAAAGTGCAGATGGCGCGGACAATTGAGCCCAAGTTCTTCAATAAAGGTTTCAGATCCATTGTGCTTCTCTACCTATCAGACACGAAAACACAACAGTTATAGAATTGCTCGGTTATGCTAAAAATGTACACAGACAGAGTTCAGGGTGTGTTACTGTACATGGAGTTAATCGGTTTATATTTCTTCTTTAAGATCTGCTAAAAAGCCATAAGTTGAAAAATTATACAGCAACCAGGCCAAGCTTTAAGATCCAAGTTATAACTTTTTAAATGTAAACAACCTTGTCCTATATTGTAAATAAACAGATGATGATAAACAGTTCAGGTTATGTAAAACCAGCAATAACACACAGTGGGATCAAAAGACTAGGTAGTGTGTTAACATTATCTGTTTATGTCTAACTTATTATTTTTCACATTTTTCAATGTATGCAATAATATAGTATTTCAAAGATTATTCCAAACTATGAATAATATGAAATATTTTTTGTTAATGCTTGTTTATACAATTGCTTTATAGCTTGTCAGACAACACTCACTCTGAAACATAGCATAAAACCTTATTCTAATAGAAACATTTAACTGACTTTGTATCAAAGCAAGAACTAACACCGGGGTTGATGAATTAAAAACATTCATTATCAGATATAAAAAACACACGAGAGTAAATGTAATATGCATTTCATCAGGCAACTTACCTCTAGCAGAAATGGGATGTCTGTTTTTATTTAAACATTTGTGTTTTAAATCAAATCATTTTGAGTGACATGCCATGATTCTACAGAAGATATTTTTGTTTATATTTAAATCACAACTTATCTCTTAACTCAGACAAAGACAACTGTATCTATGAGTTTATAAGTCATTTACAAACATCACCGGTACTACAATCATGCAAGAATTATTTATTCGCACCTACCTGATGTTAAGCTCCCCTGGATTTCAATTTGCGAGACATCAATCCGGTGTTTCTCTTCTGTGTGAACTTGGCATGACGGTAGTTCTCTTTATAGGCTAGGGTGAAAGCATCGGCCATGTGTAGGCATACGCTCCTTCAGTCTGGGGGTTACACATTTGCATACAGGCGCTGTCACTGACTCAGCCTACGTCAGAAGCAAGGCGGTGGTCCCTCTGACTGACGTCGTGCGAGCACATCTGTGCGGCTTTCTTTTGTCTTTTAAGACAGAGAATTTAAGTCTGGGACCATTCGGACAAGACTATTTACTGTAATGCAATGAAAGAAGTTTCCAAAGTGAACGGTACAGTACATGAGCTTCAAATAAACAAAGAGGAAACCAAGAAGTAGGACTTCTGTTTGCTCATATTGCCATAAAGTTCTATTTTGCAGCCGCACTAACATTAACATAGCCCAAGTTAAATAACACTTTCGCACTCAAATTAAACATATTTGTCCACTCGATCAGTGGTGGAAGTACAGTTACTCAATCATTGTAGTTAAGTAAAAGTCTGTATTTGCTTTTTACTTATTTTTTAACCCCTAACCCTAACCCTTGAGCAAAATGTAATATATTCTACATTTAACTTTCAATCTTACCTTTTACTCCACCACAATTACCTAACAGCTTTGGTTAGAGAATATGTGCCTAGCGAAGAGGATGTCAGGTATTTAATCGCATTAACCTTAAGAGGGAGTATTAAGTAACTTCAGAAGCTGCAGTCAAGCTTGTAAACTGGTTGGATGTTGCCCTCTGCTGGTTCCTATCTGACACTGCAACGGTTAAATATAACAAAGTGGTATTTAAGTTTTAGGAAGTAGTGGAAAAACGTTTTAGTGGTGAAGTGTAATATCAAAGGAGTAAAGCTGATGTCACAGAGTAAAAGGAAGTCTTGTCTTTGTTCTACTAATCTTTGCCTTCAGAGTACAAACGCAGCTGGTTCAGTTGCTGCCACTGTCCTGAATTAAAACCATGATTACATCCCTGGAGAGTTCCTTTACAGGGGAAACTGTTGACCGCTCACGAAGGTCCCCACCCTTACCCGCAGAAGTTGTCCCGAGCCGTCAACACGCTTCATGTCGACCCAAATAGAAGCCACGAGGCAACTGATGTCATGTGTGGAGGCTGAGCCGGTCAATGTGTTTAGGGATGGTGAATTGGCTTGACTTATTGCACATGTTAATATATGTGGGCTTACTCCAAGACATCTGTATGTTTTCATCAATCATAAAACTGTATGCATGTGAGCCATTGTTTGTTACTTTTAATTCACCATACAATGTTTTAACATTAATCTATCAAATTGCTATCTTCATTCTTCCCTTTTTAAAGCTCTATTTTCGTTAAATGATCATGGCTAAAGTAGTATAGTGCTTTCCCACTTGTCCCTGGATAGTCAATGAAGTCACTGAGGGATAACTGAGTTGGTGTGCATTTGCAGGAGAATAACTCTTCTACGAAGCTACCATCAGAAGCTCGTAAACATAGTTTGTGGAATCCTGTAAGATTCAAACCTGCAGATTTATGTTGCCAGAAACAACATCCTTTCCAAAGCTCTGTTTTCAAAAATAAAACGATGCAGCCTCCAGCATGCTTCATGGCAATAAGAGCTATTTCTTGTGCATAAATGAGTCCTCGTTATGCCTCTTTATGGTCAAGCAAATGCCTCGTGACTCACCCTGCTGCTGTGTGCCACACCCAAGGAACCGAAATACACGCAAATCACAGGAGCATTTTGTGATTGAGCTTTTCTATAAGGGCACCTGATGCTGTTGTTTGAATCCTAGTTTGGGAGCTTTCACAGAGAGGTAGTAACAAAGCAGTTTCATAGATATGGAGTTGGTGTCTTGCAGTATGTATTAATAGTTTTGAGGAAAATAACTAAAATGCTCCAATTTACTCCAAACACAAACAACATTCAAGCCCAACTACAACATATACAGTTGCTGAATAGTCAAATGTTGAAGTACCATTATTTGTTGCAGACAGTGCTACATAATCAGGGATGGTGGAGTGTGGAGTGCGCAACATACTTTACAGTTTTAGCCCACAGAGAGCAGTGAAGTAGCATTTATTGCTCCTTTGTGATTTACTGACTGTAAATAGCAGGTTTGTTACTCAACTACTCTGTGTTCTACCGAGCCCTCCGTGAGCAAGGAACATGTCTGCCTATTCATTGTAAAGTTGTTCTGAGTATAAGCTCCTAGAGTCAAATACAGTGAAAGCATGGGCGGCAGCTAGATCTCTGTGTTACCCTCTATACTTAGTTAGATGCCATTTTGATTTACAGTCCTCCTTACCAAAGCTATAGGGTGCTAAGCACAAGTGGCTTTCCAGACAAAATTGTTTTATACACCTGTAGGGCAAAACACCTGTCTGTCAATTCACTGTAATGAAAAGTCAAAGTAGTTGTAGGAGGCAGATGTACTTCCCTTCATTCAAGATGTTATTTATAGATACACACTCTTATGTAATGACTTAAAAACCACACTGCACACACAGCACATCACATGTAGTTGACTTTACTGCCAGTTAACATGCGAATACTTTGATGTGTATGCTGCTTAGCCAGATGCCATGGTGTTCTTGATCCAGGAGAGGTAATTGCAAACCTTTGTGTACACCCCAGGCTTTTTCTTTTGAGCACATCCTTTCCCCCAAGACACGACTCCATGGAGCTCTCTGTCACACATCATGGGACCCCCAGAGTCACCCTGAAGATATAACAAAAGAGGATTGGTGCACATAGTGACAGAAACAATTGTTTTGTGTTACAGCAGCCATTTTTATATTACCTGACAGGAGTCCCTCCCACCCTCCAGAAAGCCAGCACAGATCATGTTTTCAGTGATTTGGAAAGGATATGAATTAAAGCATGTGTCATCACTCAGGAGAGGGGCTTCCAGGCACTGTAATTTATGAGGGTACCTTGCTGGAAAGGACAGACAAATCCTGTTTTTATATACAATAATGTTAGAAATGGCATTTTTTGGACAATCTCAATCAGTCTGATGACTCACAGCCCTCATTACTGGGACGGATATTCCCCCATCCAGAGATTTGGCACATTGTCCCATCACTGGCACACTTTGAAGGGAGCGCAGCAGGGTGCACGTAGCTGTTCAGAGTGGCAGGTCGACTAAGTTTGATCAGCATTATATCACTATCCTGTGTGCCGGAGTTGTAGTCAGGGTGTCGAATAAACTTGGCAGACATAATGTGCTGTTCTGTTCCCTCGGGTTCAAAGATGTCATGCTCTCCCAGCCGAATTTCTATATCTGACCTTGAAGAAATAATGGAAATCTCAAGATATAAACTTTGACATCAATCCATCAGTGTTTACCAGCTTCTAGTTTGGTTTTGCATGCTTGTATTTCTTACTTTGTTCTGCAGTGTGCAGCAGAGAGCACCCACTCCTCAGACAGAAGAGTCCCGCCACAAAAGTTGTACCCAGTGTAAAGAGACACTTGGTAGGGCACAGAGTTTTTTGGACACTCATAACCTCCAACAATCTTGTTATCTTCCTTCAGGGCAGCTGCGGCTGTTGAAACATTGGAAAAAAGACAAAAACAGATCAATTATGTTATTGACATCAATCATTAATCATCAATATGTTAGACTACTCAATGCCACACATTCAGATTTGGTACAGTATTTATAAATGATGTACTATACCTGCCCCTCCAAAGAGAGTCAGAAGAAGGAAAAGCTTCATGCCTGCTGTCTGGCCAGAAGATGAATGTGCACTCACCCTCTAGATTTCAGGTATTTTAATGCTCTTATCTCCTTTTTCTCAAGGTCCTCTAGCATAGAGGTAAACATGTGTTACATTTCCCAAGAACAATTTAGAGCATACTGTGAAAGACAGAAAAGCAAACTGGGGGAAAAACAGCTTGAAAGAGTAAACTATTTGAATTGCCAACTAACATTTGGAATTCCCCTTTTGGAGCATGCTTTTAGTCTGAGATTTTGAGCAGTTGCCTGGATATGAGATGTATATTGCCTTTTAGTGACTATAAATTAACATTCACACGTGCGGATGTTAAGTAAAACTTGGTATGTGTTTGTATTACAAGTGGTTAAACACCCTCCTGGACAGTTAAATTGTCTGATAGCAAATGTGCCATTTCCATCACCCAGAGAGCCAAAAAAAAAACATATATAAAGTATTATTTGTATTGTATTCGTATTCTGCATACTCATACTTTAAAGGAGGTCTGTTATCAGCCAGCTGCTGCCTGGAAAGATCCGGTATATACATGTAGCTGTGTTGCAATCGGGTTGCAATACATGATATGAACAACCTATTGCTCAACCTTAAAAGTGAAATGCTTACCACTTGGCCAGAAATGTCATCTAAAACATTCAAATAAAAAAATTATCAAAATGTTCAGCTAAATATTTAGAGGTTACAGGGTGATAAACATCACACTCATACAGTGATTCCACTTGCTTGTCTAAAGGCCAAAGTGAATCATTGTAGCTCCAGATTGCCCCCATTCCAACATGAGATGAGTAAAAAAAGAGCTGTCAGGGGTCAATGGTTGGAGGAACTGGGTCTGTGTGTATTAGGCAGTTTATTGGATTACATTTAAAGCCATAGAAATACAAATAAAAACTTTCTTTTTAAAAGAGCAGGATTCAGCTCAGGGAAATGCACCTTCAATTGTGGCTGCACCTCAAATTTAGCCAGCGCAAACCGTACATAGCAAACTTTCTACTGCTGGCGTTTCACAGGTTACACTTGTTTCTGCCACTTTGGGTTTATTCCAATATACCAACTATCAAAGCGTTTACAGACTGCACAGTCCATTTTTAGTGGCACAGTAAAAACACAGTTTACTAAGATTAACTATAGGCCGACTCCACACATGGAGATTAACAGAGAGCTGTGTTGTTGAGTTCCAAAAACGTTGAATTGTGCTTTCATTTGTCCTGCTGTTTGTTAGTAGATGGCTTTTAATAACTGATGATTGGAAATGTATGTTTTATGGAAGCAGTAGAAAAGGTGAAATGCTGACCTATTTATATGGAGCATGTTTCCAGGCTTTACACATACCACCTTTAACATGAAATAATCCTAGCCAAAACATATTACAGCATTTTCAGATTCCCGTATATTGTTGTTATACAGTTGTTGACACTGAAAGCATTTAGTTGTTAATTCATTTTATTCAACATTTGTTTATTGTCACTAACAGAATGTTCGTCATACGTTTTCCTACAACCTTTTGGAGCCATTTAAACTATTTATATAAGTTAAAAGAAACGTGTTTCTCCTTTACAGTAAAGCAGAACTTTGCATGATTCAACAGTTTGAAATGAAATTGTTTAATCCTCCTAGGAAACACATGTATCACTGTCCTCTATCTATCTGGTTTGGGTATGAGATGTTCAAAGGAAATCAGCACTCTTACTGTTTTGACATTGGAAAACTGCTTATCATTGCTGAGTCAATGCTACAGAATGGAGGCTTACTGAGAGGTACTGTACAAGGCTCCGTTACTCATGTATGAGCATAGGTGTTTATCAGAACCAGACAGGAAAACATTTAAATGTGAGGGTGCATTTAACCAAACCCTATGATTATACACTTAAGGCTAAAATATAACGCATTCCCATCCAGCACAGGCAAGTTCTCCCCCATCATTAGTGTGTGGCACACTCCTGTCTGCATCATTCCTCTTACAACCTGCATAGCACTTGCTTTATTCTTCTTCAATTGCAATGAAGCGCAACATTCTGCTGAGAAAAATCCTCTCTGTAAATAAATGAAAAGCCTCAGGGTGCATTTTTGTTCACTGTTTTGTTTGTTTGCTCTTTACTCTATAACTACAGTAGAGATAACATTTCATTAAGTTTTCAGCAGTAAACATGAGGCTATAGGACATTTCAATGGCATTTATTTGAGAAAACCAAATTTCCAAAATCGTTAAAATGAGCAACAAATGCAAAGAGTCCCTTAGCTAATTGCCAAGAAACGTCTTTGATAGTACTACATATGACACCCAGATGCCGGTTTCAGTTGCACACGTGCAAAACAACATCCAGGATGTGATCCGCTTGATGAAGAAAGAAACGAGATAAATGCTTTGCATTCAATCTAAAACTGTCATTGACCTTAAATAATTGCCCCCACCTTTTTTCCCCACCATTTCCCACCATTAACCTTAGTTACAGTACATGGATAGGATCATAACTTCCATTGATTTCACCATCTGCTGCTCCCTGTTTAACCAGTTCCGGTCCCCCTAACCCCATTCCACCGTACCCAAGAATACCCTCAGAGAGAGCTCTGTGTCGACTCAGTGTATGACTTATGCCTGCCAGCCTTGTTTTCAGACAGAGCCTAGGCTGATTATTCATATCCTTTCGGTCTGCTGAGGGGGACCAGGCATTGCGGTTGAAAGTAGGGACGAATGTAAGGAAGTGGTTTTAGGTTATTGAGGTTTAGCTTTTTTTCCCTGCGTGTGGTGTTTTTCATGGAAAAAAAACCGTCAGTCAGCCAAAGGAACGAAAGCCATTGGCACCGGTGTTGAATAAAAAAATAAAAAATTCCTGACCTCTCCGCACCCGTGAGACAAGGGTTGATTTCCAGTCATCACCGCAACAAGATCAACAATCCTTTGTGGTTTCAGGACGCTGCAGATTCCCACTATTTGTGTCTTTGTGGCAGTGTAACTGGAGTCTGATTTCAACACAACAGCTAGCATACTATACTCACATTTCACAAGAGGAGTTAAGAATACTGTGAGCTCACATTGTTTAGCTCTCAGCAGCGATGAAAAATACTGGGTGTATTACAGTGATGATGGGAGCAGGAGTCACATCATGAGTTCTGCATTGCCCCGCACACAGACACAAACATACCTCGTACATTTAGCTGTGCCTTTCAGGTTTCGACCCCACCCTCCCAGCTGCTGTAGTGAACAATAAACCCCCAAACTCAAACTGCATCAATCAACCTCTACTAAAAACTCAATTCTCTTTAAACCTCCACTAGTTGTTTTACACACCCAAATTGGTATTTGTGCGGCACACACATAATTGCATGTTGGGTTGGTAAATCAAGAACTCTGGCAAGCCCTCAGCTCTGAAGGCTTCCCTCAAACTATAGCCTTGGGATAGCTATTAATATCCCCCACAGACACCAGCAAAATGCTCTGCCTTCGAGTTCTGCTGCAAGTCTGTAAGGCAGAAAATGCAAAAAGCACATTCGAGCACAGAAAATGAAAAGTGGAGGCTGATTTCTCAAGAGGGTCAAAACAAAACTACACAAAGTAGTCATACTGTCTAGACTTTAGCTAAAACAGTAATCTCATTTACTGTTGCAAATAGGGCGGAACAGTTCACTGTGAAAGGATTGATGAAAAAGGTAATTGGGTCAACTTATTTAGGTTTCCTGCAGTTAGGATGAATTGTTTTTGGACCGGCTGTTGAATTTCTCTCATTGGGGACGAATATTCAGATGTTAAATGTTTATGTTTCCAAAAGAATAAAGGCAATAATGACGGAGGCATAAGCCCTCCCACACACTTAAATAAGAGTAATGCTCTGAACTCACTGAGAGTGTGTAGTGTCTCGTCCTCTTTTACTCTCTCTCTCTCCTTCTGTCCTCCCCCTCACATCTGGACTCTTGGCAGGTCATAGTTCCTGTGTGGTGTGTGGGTACATTAGCGGGGGATTCACTTCTTGGGGTTGGGCAGGTTATAGCAGCTCACACTGTGTGAATCTGATCAGTTCAAGATATTGAGCCTCATTGTGTTTCACTGTTAGATCTAACTTTGGATTTAGATTTCTTTGTTCCATGTTGTTTGTGTGCAACCCAGTGAGTTTTCAATGCAAGTAAATATCAACCACAGTGCATTTTTATGCATTCATTTTAGGAGTGACTTCTGTCTGTTGTTCCTAATCAACTCTTTGGAAAGTACAGATACAGAAATATGTCTATTGGTGTCAAAGTTAGGCTTTTAAGTCATGTTTGATTTGGTGCATATGATTTAAATAATGGTTTCATATTCTACTGCAAAACTCTTCAAATTCTATTCCCCCAAAAATTATTTTCCAACAAGTTTGTTTCTGATAGCTAAGTTCTTCTTAACATCTGTTTACTCCCTGTTAAAGTTCACGTGGAAAGTGAAAAAGCACAGCATACTGGGAAAGAGTCCATTCATCAAGTTTTGCAGTTTTCCACATAAGATTTGTAGGGGGAAAAAGATTTAACTCAAAACATGGTGATACAGAAGAACAAATGTGTGGGTAGCGTGGTCGAAAAACTGAGAAAGAGGAACCATGTGGGAGGAAATTATGACCATGGAGTCAATCTCGGATGAAACATTTCTCTCGCAAAGAAAGGTAGGGTTGCACTCGTGGGACATGAGATTGATTTTCTTTCTCTCCAGCAAACACTCCCCTGTGTCCATGCCTCCATCCTGCTGTTTAAACAACAAAACATGTTCACTGCAGGAAGTTTCAGTAAGTCAGGGAGATTTTAAGTGCCTTCAAGTCCTCTGGTTTGCCTTGGTATTTGTTCAAAATAATGTTTTTTACTCTTTTAATTATTCAACTGCTCCGTAGGTCCATGACACGGCAAGTCTTTAGATAGACTCGCATTTTCGCGACTGAGAACTTGACTGGGATATATCTGGAATAGAAAAGCAGCAGGAATGTACCACAGCAGGCTTTAAAGGATGAAATTGCTAAGATTTACAGCTTAGATTTGCTTCAGGGTGGGTAGATGAATTATCTTTTGTTTTAAGATTGCAATCAGGTCTGCGGTTTGCAATGAACCGCTCTGAAGTGATGCCTACACTTATTCACCTTTACTGTGAATGTCAGATGTTCCAGGAATGCATGGTTCAGTGTAATGATTGATTTAAATATCCCATCCATTCTCAAGAAGTCCTTCTTTTAACTTTATTACAACATTTTTGTTTCCGTTTTCAACAGAAAATGACTAGTTTGCACAAATAGGAAACCCTGTTTTATTTACTGTTTGACTGTGGTCAGTAGTGCTTTCACTAACTCCATTTACGAGTATGATAGCACTTTAAATGTCTTTCCACATTTCAGAAGGATTGGATTTTAAAGGTTCCCTATTATACTCTTTTTCAATAGTATATTATAGGTCTCAGATATATACAAAACATGTCTCTGAAGTGTTTGGCTTGAATACCAAACAGATTGTGCATTTTAGCATCCCATAATCTCCTCTGTTTCAGCCAGTGCTGATTCTGTGGGTGTTTCTCAATGTCGAGGACGCTTGCTTGGTAGCACATGTCTTCCGAGTCACTTGCTTCAGAAGCGAGGCAAGAATCCTTGCTAGCCTCGGAAAACGAAGAATTGTGGACAGGCTAACAGGTGTGCAGGTGTGCAGGTGTGCGTCATGCGAGGCCCCGCCTTAAATGGAGCGCGATTTCCGCCAAAGATTTGGAAATTGGTCCGTGCGCAAAGCATTTGGGGATTTTTAGACCGCGGAGACATGTGCAGCCTCGAAATTTCTCGCTACGAAGTACGCCGGCCTCAGTAGAATTCCAAGTATGCTGGACATTGGAACAGTCCTTCGGCGGCCCTCGATGACGTAGTATGCTTGAAATAGTGGCTCTGGGAACAGCCTTCCTCGACTTTGAGAAACACCCCATGTCTGTCTACAAATGAACTGCCACTCCCCACGCCCCTCTGTCAGATGTTTTGTTAAAAAAGGAGGAGATTCAGGTGATAAGGTGGGCGGGCGTTAGCTTGGTTGGTTATTGGCTAATGGTTGCACAACCCAATTAAAACATTGTGACATGACAAAGTGGCCAAAATCTGATCAGCTCATTTTCAGAAAGGTTTTTATATAAATGGATCAGGACGAAAAGAGAGGGAATCTTTTTTCCTGAAACTTTCTGAATGTCTTTACACAGACAGGACGCATGTTTGTGTATAAAAGACATGAAAAAGTGGATTTTGCATAATGGGTGACCTTTAAAGTGCAAAATTGGATGTTGTTTTTGTTTTCCAGTTTAAATCAGAGGCACAGTTGTGTGTCCAGCATCAAGTGGACAGGGGCACAGAGGGAGTAGCCTGCTATTTTATATAACTTCACGGCAACCCTAAATTATCGACAGATGTTGCAGTGACGTTCCTGCAGGGTAAAGAGAGGAGGACATTAAAAATAAGTAACCTACGTCTTCAGATGTTAATTTGCACAGTGACAAAGACACTTAACCTCAAGCCACCATGAGGTCAACCCACAATGAGAAAAACACATTACGCAGCAGGATCACTGGGGCACATGAGAAGCCACTGTTCATCTCTGTCTCAGGTAGTCATATTTACAACCCACAATTTATGTATTTAGTTGTTTGGTTACTTTGTGTTTTCACTTTTGGAGTTTCCCAAATGTCTGTTGTTTGGCTTTTTCAAGAAGAAAGCATGTCTTGGCATGATTTTTGCGTCAGACTAGTATTGAGAAAACAGCATGTCATGACTAACTATATACACATCATCTTCAATCTGAATGTATCAAAGTCTTTAAATTAAGTCGAAATTGTGTTTTGTTTTAGAAAATGTATAACCATATTTACTGAAACTGTATACAATAATGCCTTAAGAATAAAGTACAAGAGGTTTAATGGTTTTTAGGGGTGGGGGGTGTAGCCTGAGGTCCCGCCTCGATGAGTGCAATGACGTCACATATTTAAGGAGTCAGGGATCAGATCTTCACGAAGTCCACAGACTGGTCAGATGTGTCCGGTGTCTTCTGCAACGAAGACACATCCTCTTCAAACAGTCGCTTTCAGAACGGTAGGTGCTGTACCTTTGTTATCCTCAGGAACCGTAGCTCAGGCGGCATTAGACAATAAAAGCATCCGATGCAGGCTGCACTGGCAACAGTTTTCGTATCAGAGATTTGCGATTCTTTGAGGTGGACTTTTTAACTCAGTTACATGCAAATATTGTCTTATTGTTAATTAAGCCTGTGACCTGGGTTTTGACTCCTGTTTATCAGAACTAAGGACTCTTGCTTTAATTCAACAGTGGTTTAATGGTTAAATGATGTATGTGTTTCCGTCCCATATGTGCACTGATGTAAATTAACTCAGTATGAAATGTGCGCACCTTATGCATGTCTGCATGTAGAGCGAAACTTTTCAAGTGTACATTTTAGAGTCATTTTATGAAACCTCGAACTAGCACAGAAAGTTAGGAAAGTTTTTCTTAGGAAATATTTGTCTTGTTGTCTATTGGGGTGGCTCACGTTAGATACATAAAGTCCAAATGTAAATTAATTGGGACTATTGTAATGTCCATGTGAATAGCATTTTCTATTGGCCTTTTTGTGAACATTATTTATGAAAACATTAAGCTTAAGTATTATTAGGGACTTTTGTTCCCATCTAAATAAAATACTTAAAGGTTTAATTTGTTTGCTGTGTTTTATTTTTTTGCAGGTCTTAAGACAATGATGGATCTAATGACAGCTACTCCTTTCTATCTCATCAATTCAACTGATGACAATGGTAGAAATGGCTCTTATTATGAAGATGATGATGATGAGTTTGATTTCAAGGAAGAGCATGCTGAGCTGAGACAGTCTCTCAACATCATGTCTCTCATTGTTTACTGCCTGGCCTTTGTTCTCGGTGTACTCGGGAATGGAGTGGTTATCTGGGTGACCGGATTCAAGATGAAGAAAACAGTTAACACAGTGTGGTTCCTCAACCTCGCTGTG